GTAAAAGAAATTTGAAATAAAGATTCTCCCTACCCTTTCCTTGTGTTTTTCATTGTCAAAACTTATTAAGGCAAAAATTGAATTTTGAAACAATCAGTTTGAGTATGACAGTAATCCTATTGCCAAATGGTGTATCAATGTCAGTATCAGCCAATGTACCAGCGCTTAAGGGCAGTGCCACAGAATTCACGATCGATGTCAATGTCCTTTAGATTATTGGAGCTGAATCTATACTGGGCAACCCACATCGTTTCCGAGAAGAAAACTGTGATCAGACAGAGTTAACGGAAATTCTGGCCTCATTCCCGTGCTCGCAAACATTCCTTCAAGTCACACTTCAGGCTCACAATTTCTTATATTTCCTATCAATACCTATCCTGCTACTCAATAAAAAGTCTGTTTTTCTTTTAAAAAGCTTAATATCTCTTATTTTACTGATTTTCAACCTCTTCATTCATTTTTTGGTTGTTTGAGCTTGTCCAGGATTACGGAGAATAGGGGCTTTTTTGATATTGCATCTTTTTGCTTACAACCTATATATAGTTTTTGTCTTTCTTTTCGTTCACTTTACAAACATGATCTGAATATTTTATGAACATGGACTAAATCTGAAAGTTCTTTAGTTCCGGATAACCATTTACATCTTGGCTTCATCTTGCGATCAAATATAGCAATTGAGCTGGCCTTTATTCAAGTGATTTTTCAAGGATAAATTTATAACTGTACACAAAATCACGCAAATTTTACCGGCATAACAGTTAGAGCAAGAGATTTTGGAGGAATTTCAATGCTTGGTTGAGGTTTATTTGCAGAAATAGGCTTATTTTCTTCCGAATCCGCCGTTTTGAGCGTTGTTGGGAGATTCGCCTTATTGGGCACCGAATCCACCTGGAATCTCAGAATTTCAAATAATATTCAGTTATAATTATAATTAGAATTTGTTTAAAACTGATTTTTAGCCATTTTTATAACAAACCTTGTCCTCCAAATCCACCATTTTGCCCGTTTTGTCCGTTTTGTCCACCGAAGCCGCCTGAAATTTCAGAAATATAATTAGAATCGTTTTTGTATTGAAATTTGGAGATTTATATGCAAATTTTTAAACACTTTATAATTATCTACCTTGTCCTCCGAATCCATTCTGTCCATTTTGACCGTTTTGTCCTCCAAATCGTCCTTGTCCACCAAATCCGCCTGAAATATTCACTTTATAGGATACATTATCTACAGTAATCATTAGTACCAATGGAATTACCGTGTAGAAATTCGTTTCAGTGCGAAATACGATAAAGCAAAGGGAAAGCACTTTTTTTTCAGCGAGGCTGGAGTGATTCGAGTTTAAAATATGTATTATTGGTTATTTGGATACAATAGTATTCAATTTTCAAATCCTTTTGTAATAAAAATACAGTATTCTAATTTATTGTTAAAGTTTTATTAAAAAAACGAACCCTGGCCTTGTCCGCCGAATCCGTTTTGTCCGTTTTGTCCGCCGAATTGTCCTTGTCCACCGAATCCACCTGTAATATCGAAATTTTATATGATATTTAGTTATAGTTTTGGATAACATATGCAATTTGAAATAATTCTTAGGGTTTCCGTTTAAACAAACCTTGTCTTTGTCCTCCGAATCCACCCTGTCCTTGTCCATTTCCGTTTCCACCGAAACCTCCTAGAAAAAAACTACCATTTAACGATAATTTGCTTTTATTTTTATTATATAAACTCAAAATCTATGTAATAATGAAATTTTATGCATTTTCCCTCACCCTGTCCAGATCCACCGTTGAATCCGCCCTCGAAACCATCATCTGCATCGTCTTGGCTACTGCTACTGTCTAGAAAAGATTAGATATATAAATTTATATGTAAATCTAAATTATATATATCTATATGTTGACTAACCAGTTCCATTCCCTCTCGTGTGATTTCTGTGATGATGGCCGTGATGAGTGCCATTTCCGAAACCGTCCAATTCACCGTTTTGGTTCCTGATCTTGGTTGTTGCTGTTGCCCCCCGGCCATTCGGCTTGAATGTAGATTGATATAAAATTTATGGTTCATGAATTCTATTTTACAATCAGCTTTACAATCAGACTCATCCAATGAATATTCCGAAATTGAAACCCACAAAGCAGCAAGAACAGCGAAAAGAGCTGAGGCAATGAGCAGCGTCTTCATTTTTAGATTACTGTAGAAAAAGAATGAAATTTAAAAACAAAAAACTAGTTTCTGGATGTCACTCTAGCAAGTGACCCCTTTAAATACAAAATTTCCCCCCAAAAGTTGTTGATGTGGATGAGTGGACTGATCTCTATTTGCATATTTGTCCTTCTCAAGGGATTTAAATATTTTCCCGAATTTTTTCTATGAACTCGTTTTTTGGCAACAGCTACCCACACAGTGAGTCAGAAATTCTTCAATTTTTTTTCGATTTCCCAACTTTTCCCCTATATTTTGTGATGTCGATGTCTGTCTAGGAAATCTGTTATTTTGAGGTCGAATTGAGACCTTTTCTGGATATTTTTGTTGAACTTTAAGTCCATTTTGACTGGGTTTTTAGTCACAAATTTGTTATTGTTTTTTCGCGTTTTTTTTTTAAAATTTAAAACAAACTAGTAACTAAACAATTCAAGAAAAATAAAAACATCAATATTTGTCACCCTGAGCCGTTCTTATCACCAAAGCATCTCTTAACTCTATTCCAACTTCTATTCCAACCTCAACTCTATTTGTTATTGT